TGCAATACTTTTTTTCATATTCTGTGATATACATTGCGATATAAATACAATTTCAATAGATGCACGTTTGATTTAAATTAAACTACTGATTTAAATTGAGCTGAAATAACACAATTCTGGATTTTTTTTTACTTAATTTTAAATTTAATAGTTTTTATATTCAACCCACTTAAATTTGTATTAAAATAATAAGTTAACTTAATTCCCTTATGTTGTCCCAACTCAAATTGATTGTGTGGAACCCAGCAGTTTTACAGTGTGAGTTGTTTTGAAAGAATTTAGCATTGTAGTTTGGGATGACTTTGTAGGGGAATGCATAAAACATGATTAACAATCTACAAGCATAGATAAATTCAATAGAGAAAAAGATACAAATAAATTAAACCATGTATTATTGTTTTCAGAGGAATTCAAATGTATTCTGGTATGCAGTATTGAATAAGTAAATGCAAAATATTTAGGGATATAATGATTAACCTGACTCCTGATCCGATACAATTCATGATACTAAATTCACCATACGGTTTAGTCATGGTTTTAAACAAAATTATGTAAACAAATTTAAGGTGAAGACCCCCTTTAATTTTTTTTCTTAAATGCTGCTGTTTTTTTTTTTTTTTTTTTTTTTGCAAAATATAAATTTTCTACTATAATTTAATTAATAAAAAGAAATAAATTCCAATAAAAAAGAGAGAACAATACAAACTAAAGCAGACTTATTAAAATAAACAAACTAAAACTGTGACTATGCTGGGATTTTACATTTTTAAAAAGAAATAGCCGCATATCTATGTTTTCTGGCATAAGCTAACGTCTTTGCACATTTTTAATGTCCCCTGCTGAAAAAAAAAGGTACTGGGGAGTGAGATGGCTATGGTGTGAGGAGGAAAGCCTTTCTCAAAAAGCAGTGTGTATGGTGGTCAATAGGCTCTCTGCTCCAGGCAACTGGCCACTGGCATAAAAAAAAAAGAAAATAAAATTATTAAAAATTGACTAATTGTATAGAGACAGGAGCTGAACATTATTATGTAGGTGAATAATTAATATTACTTGTAAATCAGTGTGACACTCCTAAGAACAGATAATCTTGAACATTTTTAAATATTCAATAATAATAAGCAAATTATTAAAATATGCATAAACTAATTTGAAAAGGAGAGGGTAAAAATAGTCTAATACCTGCTTCTGTAACGGAAAAACTTTCTCTTTCAGTCTGAAAAACATCTTTAAACTTTCGCTATGAAAACACTGATGCACCGTGTGGTCTCTGTAGCACTCGTCTGAGCAAGTGGAGCTGCAAATAGTTGCATTATAGTTTTATAGTATAGTAGCAAAATGCATAATGTTTTTTTTTGCGTATTGTCACATCTGTGACAGAAGTTTTTCACTGTGCTGACGGTTAATTCGTTGCTCTGTTAGTGTAGGTAAGCGTTTTTTTTTTTTGCAGTATTTGACCACAGTTTTTTTTTCTGGCACACTTCACTTCACCATTTTACTCTGCTGCCCCAGCTCATGGTCACCACTTATGTGCAGGTAAAGCTAGTTCACACTTAAATCAAGTGCACCCTCTGTTCAAAATATGTATCTATTCATTCAACATTTCTACCGATTTGAATCGACACATATTTGATTCGATTTTCAACCAGCCCACAGTGAATCGTTACGTCCCTAAAAATAATACTGCATAGTCTTCATTTTATAAACAATTCAATAAAATTAATTGCTATTTATTTTTTTAAATTTACAAATCATACAATTTCTCATGCCTGAATACTTTTAAAACCCTCAAACAGTCACAGGCCTAAAAAAAAACACAGCAAAATTATCGATTATAATCCAGACTCAACATTGAGTATACTCGTGATGTGACTTTTGCAAATGATCACATTGCGATATCGATGCTGAAACTAAATATTGTGCAGCCCTAGTAAACAAACGGTCATACGTTAAGCATATTAAATATGGTAAAAAAGGGATATATGCTTAATTTTAAAAGCATGTTTGCTTTTTAGTAGGTTTGGGCGATAAAATCGGTATCAATATTTTTTGACCAAATACCATTGTCAATATTGATAAAAAAGGATTCAGTATGTAGTTTCAGTTCAAAGCTTTATAGTTTCATTAAAATGTGGCTGATAAGCGCGTGCCTTGAAAGCAATGCCTATAAGCTTATGGTGTTTGTCATTTACAATGGAGGTACGCAACTTGCACGATGCTCATATGGGTGTGATGTGCACATGTTGTGCAAACGGCACACATGTGACTCGCATGCATTTTCCAGGCGCATGTAGTTGAAAACATCTTAACTTTTTAAAATGCTGTGAGCGCACCGCGAGTCATGCAAGTAGAACTAACCAGTCTGCTTTACACTTTAAATGGAATATACACATTTCAGTAAAAACGGCAGACTAATTACCTCAGAAACAGTGCTTTTTACTTTTCTCCATAAGCTTGTGAGGCTCTGAGAAAACGCTTGATGGCTGCTTAGTTTTGAGAGACGTCAGGGGAGTGCGAGCACCAAGCCCATTGTAATGGTCAAGGAAACCTCGCTCTCGTGCATGCCACTTCAGGTCAGAATAACAACACGTCAATATGAGTGCGGTGGCAAAGAGCAGTGAGGTGATTGTAAATAAAAAGGATGTAAGTATGTCGCCAAAGTGGCTTTTTTGTTTCTTTTCTTGTGCATCCCAGCCACTTGCTCCCCCTCTGAAAGAGTTTTCAGCATAGGGGGTAATATAGGCCCAGTCCCAATTCTACCCCTTAGCCCTTCCCCTTACCCCTACCCCTGGTTTTGCACGTTCACGCCAAGGGGTAGGGGTGTCCCAATTCTCTTTAGCTTGCAGGCGTAGGGCTAGGGGGGAAAGGGTGAATAGCCCTTTAAACTAAATTTTTCTGGACCACACTCGAAACCAAAGGGAAATTTCTCAGAAAACAGCAGCCACAGCTGAACCGGGAAGTAAGGCGATTCACAAATTAGTATTTTTTGTCATTATTATACATTTTTGTGACAAACAAACACGTTTTAATATATTCAGAACCGTGTTCGTGTTTTACCGTCATGCTTTAAAAAAAAGAAAAAAGAAAAACAATAAAAAAAACGCTAAATTTTGCGATCTATAATCCATAATAACTGTATTATGAATAGCAGTCCCACAACATTCTGACACTCGATGACACTCAAATACCCTGTCAGAAAAGTCTAGTGGCTGAGAATGAGCTTTTTACAGAGACTGCTATAATGTTAATGTTGTTTTTGGTGTGAGATGAATATGGCCACTGTGTAAATACACTGTACAGTTACGATCTTATTGCCACTTAGATTGTTATGATAGCATAATAAATGCCTTCAGTGATTTCTTGAAGATAAATACCAAAAAATAAAAATAATAATGGAATAACGACAGTAGTCACGATCGTCTGATCTCATATGAAGCAAGAGATCGCAATGACATATGATGATGTAGTGCTGTCCCTATTCTTAGGGGTAAATTTTGAAGCCTTTTCCCTTAACACTCAGTTATAAGGGCTAAGGGGTAGGGTTACAAAAATAGAATTGGGATTGGGTCATAGTTGATCAAATTCACAATTTGTAATGTTTAGATGTATTTAAATAATGATGGTTAGTTACTTTACTTAAAAGTTCAGATTTGATTATCATAATGTGTTTTGTTTACAGAGTTTGAGGTTTACTGTATCATTATTATTCACACCTTACAGATGTTGATCTACTTTAGTTGCACACAGTTTGTAACATTTTATACAGCAAGTTTAGGAGTCTCTTTAACACTTATGTTTATTATATTATAAAGAGATGAGGTATTTTGTTTAAATAGCCTACTTTTGTTTTGACTATATAGTTGTTTTAACTATTTGTCTTAGTAATGTTGGTAAATTAAAATAAAGTGGTTAAATAAAATAATAATTATTGGTATTGTGATATTTTTTTTCCCGCAATATTGCTTAGCCTTACTTTCAAACATCATCATCATCATCATCATCATATCATTTAGCAAGTGCACAATGTAGCCATTTGTTGTGTTGTGAAGGGATGAATCCTGATTCACTCTTTCTAATCTGACAAATCTATTTCTTTTAGAGGAAAAGTGAGTGTTCCATTTAAAATCCTTAGTTTGTAGGTTGTTAATGTCCACCATTGTAACTGTATTACACTTCTTAAATAATTGAACAGACATGGTATCAGTACCTGAGCAGGCCTGTTCAGTCTGGGTCTGGTATGTATTTTTACACTGCTTTCAGTGTTGAGCTGCAAAAGGCTGTCAGTGTTTACAGTGGTCACACAGGCCTAATTGCATGAATTAAATCTATCCACGGACAGCTTCCAGAGTGAAAAGAGAGCGTGCCGGTTTTGACGCTAAGGCTAAAGTGGATCTGGTGCAGAATCGGCCAGGCTTTTGTGTGGGTGGAAGTTGATATCCTCTCGGGACGTCGGCTGTTTCAGAGTGTCACAATAGCATTCTGCTGATCTGGGTTTGAGACTTGTCTCGATAAATGAGGAACGCAGTCTGAGAGAAGAACAGTTCCCTCAACTTCTGCTTTTTTTCCACTCATTCATGTAGGCACCTTAAGAAATATCCTTTTTTATTGCATAATGCTTTGTTTTGAGGCAATAGTGAAAGAGGGAATGTGTCTGTTTATTACAACTGAAACTGAAACATTTGTTTTTTTTGTAGCATTTTTAATATAAAAGGAAATTGCTGTATCAGTCTAAACAAATTGTATCATTTCTTGTCAGAGTTCTTTTATTTTTATTCAAGAGGTAATGGTGAATGTGGGAATGTGTCTGTTTATTGCATTTGTGGCGTGAAATCTTAATTCGAAATTGAAAATCTGTTGTTTTTATATAAAAGAAAACCACTATTTAACTCATATATCTACACAAATGTTATAATTTCTTGCCAAAGTTCTATGATGTGTAAATTATAAGAGCTGTAACATCATTCATTTTTGTGTGTGTGTGTCTTAATGTAACAATGGTACAGGTATCAAATTGAAGACGAATCCTCGAACCTTGATGAGATGCCCTTGATGATGTCAGAGGAAGCATTCGAAAACGACGAAAGTGACTATCAGACGCTGCCCAGAGCCAGAGTGAGTCAGAGACGCAGAGGACTGGGCTGGTTTCTCTGTGGTGGATGGAAGGTCCTGTGCAGCAGGTAACTGTCCACATGAGAGCTCACATTCATGTTTAATCAATCAGTTGCTGTTTTTTTTTTCTTAGTGCTCAAATGATCCAAATAGATCTGGTATGTGTCTGTCTGACAGCAACCACTGTTTTATCATTGTAAAGTCTGAGGTTAATGGTGAAAGACCCTCAAATGGGGGGTGGGGGGGTAATTCAGTTTTTATTTCCAAAAATGAAAACATACAATTTTTACATACAGATAGAAAAATACTTTTGACAGATATTACCCCGTAAATATCCACCATTCCCCCACCTCGTTATATACACATCAGGAAAAACAGGATAACTGTAGTTTAGACCAAGCAAGAAAATACATTACATTAAATTTGACTTTTATTATATTAAAAAGAGTTATTAATAATTGCATAATCATTTCTACCTGCAGGGTTTCTGCTTGGTCTTAAAAAGTGTTTAATTGTTTTAAATTCACTGAAATATTGTGTCATTAATTTTAAACAGGTCTTAATTTTCCAAGTAATGCTACCCAATCAGGCTGACACCCAATCACCAATAACCTATCTCAAAACTCAATTCTCCAAATTAATTCCCTAGTCAGGAAAAGAAAACTAAAGCCATACATCCCTTTACATGATCTTCTTTTAATACAAAAGCTATTTACAGAAGTAACCTGGCCATTAGATAAAATCCTTAGTCTTTACCCCTTTATAAGTTTAAAAATTTCATTCATAATGGTCTTAAAATGGTCTTAAAATGTCTTAAATTTGACTTGAAGAGACCTGCAGATATGCTGACCTGGTATCAATGTACATTTAAATGCATCTAGATCCCATTTTGGATGTAGATGGTAACTATGATTGTGTTGGTAATCTGTGTGATGATACAACACAGTAACATATGAATACATTGTTTTGGTGGATATTTTTTTCACAACGCATCCCATAATGATCAGATGTTAGATTCGAAGAGAGTAGACAGTCTTTTGTGACTAATCAAATGTATTTGGCCTCATTTCCTTTCTATTACCTCTGGAGGAGTTGAAAATGGAGAAGTTTCTAACCATTTTATACCACATTTACACATTTTGTGTGGCCTACTTGTGGTCATCTTGACTAATAATAATTTTATTTTACAAACTCTGGAAAACTGGAAAATTTTGTCATCATTTACCCACCTTTTACTTCTTTAAAAATCTTTATGATTTTTTTTCTTCTGTTAAACGCAAAAGAAGATCATTTAAATGAACCTGTAAACATTTATGTTCAGCTTTCTTCGAAATATCTTTTTTTTTGTTCAACAGAAGAAAGAAACTTCATAAAGCTTTGGAACTACTCAAGGGTGAGAAAAATAGTGAATCCATTTTCATTTTTGCTTGAACTATTTCTTTAATAGACAGACAGATAGATAGATAGATAGATAGATAGATAGATAGATAGATAGATAGATAGATAGATAGATAGATAGATAGATAGATAGATATGTAGAAAGAAAGAAAGAAAGAAAGAAAGAAAGAAAGAAAGAAAGAAAGAAAGAAAGAAAGAAAGAAAGAAAGAAAGAAAGAAAGAAAGAAAGAAAGAAAGAAGTTTTTTTCTGAAAACATTAAGTAGATGTTGGCCTTCACCTTTAGTTAATAAAATGTCACCATTGTCATGCAGCCTGTTGTGTGTGTAAGCAGCGCTTGTGCCAGGTTGGCTCAGCTCCTTTCTAACGCACCAGTAACTGTGCATGAAATACACACAAGCACAGGTCGTGTTTTTTTTTGGTTGAGGTGCTTTCTGCGCATCACCAATCAGAAGGTCAAACAAGCCAACCAAAAATATGCTTATCCAGCCCATATGTCAGTGAGGTCAATGTCTATTCTGGACATTAATTCCCACAATATCTCAATACTTTTTGTGAAGCATCAGTGACATGCAAAAGAGATATTAGTCATTTATGATTATAAAAGTGTTTGACTCTTCTCCGCTCATGTGCTGGCTTATCAGCAGCGCATCTCAATTGTAAGCTGGGTATTGATTTTTTTTTCTTCTCCTAATGAACAAATGGGATTTCGCACAGCTGACCAGTTTGCTGCTTTCCAGTAATTTTCTGTGTGCTTAGGCAAAGGATTATGAAATGAACAAATAATTCAAGCAGAATAACTCTGCTTATTCAAACGGCTCTATTATTTGAACTACGTTCATTTGAGCAAATAATCTCTCTTATGAATCAGGGTGCTGGCACTTTACGGACAGGAGGCGGGAGAGCCAACACAAATATTATTATATTTCTTTTCAAGGTTTATGTAATTTAGTTCAGTGCCAGCCAAACCATTCGGCATGACTGTGTACACTGCGCAGAGTACCGGCAGAGTACCGTCACGCCGTTCAACCGGGATGGCAACCTCTAGAATATAAAATGAATATGAAGGTCAACAAAGTGTTTGGCACTCTCTCTGACCTTCACACAGAATCAGAGCTTTCATTTAACCAGGGAAGGGGTTTGTTTGGTAGGGGGTTAGAGAGGATGTCATCTACAGGTTTAGTTGTTCCCGTTAGGTATCTGAAGGGCTGCATGGAGTATTCACTGACAAGAACCTCAGATGTTTTTTTGTATTGATTGCATATACTTTTTAAATATGTAATTTGATAACTACACTTAACTTAAATTAAAAAAATAAATAAATAACAATTTCTGTTTAACGGAGAGAAAAACTTTTTCAACACATTTCTAAACATATAGTTTTAATAACTCATTTCTAATAACTGATTTATTTTATCTTTGCCATTATGACAGTAAATAATATTTTACTAGATATTTTTTTAAGAAACTAGAATTTACCTTAAAGTGACATTTAAAGGCTTAACTAGGTTAATTAGGTTAACTGGGCAGGTTAGGGTAATTATTTTATATAATTGTGGTTCCAACATCAAATTATATGTATATATTTTTGTGACTTATATATATATATATATAGAGAGAGAAAAAGGTTTATGTAATTTAGTTCAGTGCCAGCCAAACCAATCGGCATGACTGTGTACACTGTGCAGAGTACCGTCACGCCGTTCAACCGGGATGGCAACCTCTAGAATATAAAATGAATATGAAGGCCTTTAAATGTCATTTTTTTAAGGTATAGAGAAAAATTTATGTATATATAACTTTATATATATATATATATATATATATATATAAAAAAGTTAAATACATATATATATATATATATATATATATATATATCAGGGATGTAACTGTATTGTAAATACCGCAATAGCAATTTTTTTCAATATTAGCGTAGTCGCATGACTCGGTAAAACTATAAGTCTTCTGAGAAAATTTGCTCAGGTGAATAAAGCGAACGGGAGGTAGCGGAAACTACAATTCCCATCAGCCCAGACGTGGCCATCATCCTTTGCGGTCTGTTGTCGCTACAGATCCAGTAATGCGGAAATGAAGTGTGCTGCTAGTAGTGGGGATGAAAAAAAAGCTGGAAATAATCGAACCTAAAGCGGGTTTCAAATCAGATGTGGGGAAGCATTTCGGTTGGGGGTGTTGTTGTTGACGCTGCGCACGTACTGAATAGCGGTGTTGTTGCGTCAGGCGAGACGGAGGGTGTGTCATGTCGCGGGGGAACTTTTGATCATTTTGGAAGGGCACTTTCTATCCAAGACTAAAAAGGGCATGTGCACTGCACAGGTTGAGCCCTATGTGTGCACTTACCTGCAAGTTGGGGAATAAGACTAATAACAGTCATGGGGACTGCAGAAACACAGCACACTGTTCAGATTGATGCAGACATTGACTTGTACTGCAAAGAGACCTCTATCTCACTCAAGGCTTGTCCTCTCAAGTCGGGGAAAGACAATGCACAACGTTACCCACTGCTGTCAACCTGGGCCAAGTCATATCTCTGTCCCAGAAACCTCAGTCCCAAATGAGAGGGTTTTTTTCTGTTGCAGGGGACATTGTAAATGCCCATAGAAACCATCTTTTACCAGATTATAGTCATATGATAATTTTCCTTAAAACCCATCTCTATCTAAGTGAGTGAGTGAGTTATTAAATGTTGAATGTGGTGAGTTTTCAACAATACTAAATTGAAACTTTATTTTTTTACATGGTTTAATATTTTTTTGTTATTAAAATTGAAATTTGAAAGTTCCTGTTTCAAAGCTTACTGATAGATGGCTAATTTGTATGTCATTGACACTTTTGGCACTTTTTTGGGGTATTTTCATTAGTTTTGTTTTTCCTGTAAATGATTCAATAAATACCGTACCGTGACATTCATACCGAGGTATTACCGTACCGTGAAATTCTGATACCGTTACATCCCTATTATATATATATATATATATATATATATATATATATATATATATATATATATATATATTATTTAACTTTTTATCTATACCTTAAAAAATGACATTTAAAGGCTTAACTAAGTTAATTAGGTTAACTAGGCCGGTTAGGGTAATTAGTCAAGTCATTGTATAATAATGGTTTGTTCTGTAGCCTATCAAGAAAATAATTAGCCCAAAGGGGCTAATAATTTTGTCCCTAAAATGGGTTTTAAAAAATTTAAAACAGCTTTTATTCTAGCCAAAATAAAACAAATAAGACTTTCTCCAGAAGAACAAATATTAGACATACTGTGAAAATGTCCTTGATCTGTTAAACATCATTTGGGAAGTATTTAAAAAAGAAGAAAGAAATTCACAGGGGGCTGTTCCTTCTGACTTCAACTGTATATATACATATATTGATACATACACACACACACACACACACAGACACACACACACACACACACATTTGGAAAAAAAAGATATACAACATCTTAAGTTAACAAAATGCGATTGAAATAATGTTCCATTGTCAGTCAGTGTTACTAATGCAATTATGCAAAAAAACAAAACATCGTTGCTGGTTGTTTTAAGCAGTACTTCTCACAATAAGTAAAAGAGTAAGTGATCATGCTATATGATTATATCATTGCTGACAAATGAATGATTTGAAGAATTATGCAAAGTATAAAGTTACAATAATATATTGACATCACTGCAAACTTACAAAATCTGTTTATTATTTATACATTTTTTTCTGTAATTTAAAACAAAACTTATTTTATTTAATGTAATTTAAATTGAACAATTTATAATGCATGGAGAGAAAGATAAAGCTTTAATAAACTTGCATTCCTGAAAATCTCTCTTTACCAATCACTGTTCATCATTGCTTGGATCTTGAAAGTAAAATGAATTGCATTTTCATTTTAAAGGCCAGTTAACACCAAGGATGATAACTATAACAGTAAATTCAAACATAAGCATAACAACCATTAAAAGCTGGATAACAGCAATGATAAGCACACACAGTATCATTATTATTGAAATATATTGAGGTTTTTCTATTCATCTATTGAAAGATAAAAAACCTTGACAGAAAATCAGCATCCATCCTGCCCAACCATTTAAAACAGCAGTCAATAAAACTGCAGCGCATGCTTATAACAAACAGACTATTACCACGCAACATTTTGGAAATAAATAGTTATAGCTCTTGAGGTGAATCTAAATTTAAATCCATCTCACAAATGTACCCTCTTTTTGAGTGTTCTCCATTTACTGCTTCAACAATTTTAGTCTTCTTAGTGGAAGCACACCTTGTTTATCCACCTAAAGTTCAAGTGAATCTAGACTGAGCTAGTCTGCCTTTACTCTCAGTAACATCACTTACATTAATGTTGCATTAACGTCAGTTGTATTTCAAGTGGAATCAACTGGATACGCGCGACTGCTGATGAATTGCGCAAAAGGTCCCAGTGTTCGTTTTCAAGTGCGCTTTAAGTGATTGACGGAATGATAATTCAACTAAATCGCTGGTTTTCAGCGCAACCCTCAAATTAGGAGTAATGATCACTCTTGATATTTGTTCATTATTCGGTCGGGGGTATTTTTAAAATGAAGACCGTTTTTACTGGAAATCCGGGCCTGAATTATGCCTGTAGCACTGTGTCCTCCCTTAAATGAATTTATCTAATCACTGGATGATCTTTTTTCCTCTCCGTGGTCTCTGTCACGCAGCTGTTGCGAATGTCTGGTTCACACATGTCGCAGAAAGAAGGAGCTGAAAGCTCGGACAGTGTGGCTGGGACATCCCGAGAAATGTGAAGAGAAGTACCCCAAAAATGCCATCAAGAATCAGAAATACAACATTGTCACTTTTGTGCCAGGGGTAAGACTGTGTAATCAATCTCTCATGCATGTTATTGTTTTGATTTTCAAGTGTTATATTTGATTTCTTTGCCAAAAAATATTGATTAGTCTTATAAATGTTTGCAATTCAGGTTATTAGTGTTCATCTTTTAATATAAATTTTGATTGTACAATTCAATTAATTATATTTATACTTTAAAATGCTTGTGTATGCGTTTATTCCGCAGCTCTCGCTAGGCTGTTTAAAGTGAAATCTCTACCCATTGTCAGATTTGCTCAGTAATCAGGTTAATGTGTAACTAGCTGTGAAGTAAGGGGGTGTAACAGCAATCTAGCGTATCTTTTTCCACTGAGAGTGTAAGCGATCTACTGTATTATGACTGCTGCCGATGTCTTATTCAGGGGAAAGCAGCTTGTGTATGTGCCCTTGGCAAAGTATTTGCAGCTTGTACGATGAATTATGTATAAGCCAATCAGGTGCGCCTCCAAAAGCTGTGTTAGGATGTCACAATTATTACTGTCATTACAAAACTGCTCACACTTTGCAATAAGGTTCCATGAGAGCTAATGTATTTACTAACATGATCTAAGAGGGAATATTAATTATAAAGCTTTTTTATCAGTTCAACATTTGCTAATGCATTGTTAAAACGAGGTGTCTGCAGGGTCTTAAAAAGTCTTAAAGTCTTAAATTTCAAAATCAAAGTTTAAGGCTTGAAAAGTCAATTTACTGAAATATGCTGTTGTAGGTCTTAAATCTTTTTTTAAACGGGTCTTATTTTTTTCTTCGTTTATTGCTATCTAATCTGGCCAACACCCATACAATCAACCAACAATCCATCTTAACAAAACTTTAAGCTTTTCAATTAAAAAGGTAATTTTTAAACTATTTATCATATTGGTTTTATTACTTTACTTACAAAAACATTAGTTTAAAAGTGCTCCAAGTGTTTACTGCCAAGGACACTGACCAGGACAGATTGTTGTGCATAATTTAGTCTATTATAGTATTTAAAACATTTTTTTCATTTTAAAGAAAGGTCATGTTGAGGAAAAAGTGAATGGATACAAGTAGAGCTTGCTTGTTTTTACAAAATATTAAAAATATATATATATTAAATGTATTCAATTATAATAATTTTCTGATAGGGCAAATACAATTTTTTTTTCAATCTTGGCCATTTGTAAAATACCTTATAATACCGTTTAGCTCTTTATGAGTTTAAAATTTATTCACAATGATCTTAAAAATGTCTTAAAGTCTTAAATGTAACTTGGTGAAACCTGCAGAAACCCTGTAAAATCCAAATTTGTGCTAGTTGACGTGAATGCTCTGGGAGTTAACTAGAGCTAACAATGAATTATTGAATGTTCATTCACTAATGTTAACAAAGATGAATAAATATTGTAAAAAATGTATTGTTTGTTGTTCATACACAAAATTTGATGGATGTTTTCTTAAAAATGTGTCTGCTGGAAGAATATATATTATATATCAAACTGAAAAAAATCTCCAATGTTTTTAATGTATATTATTTTTTTTTGTTGTTGTTTTTTCTCTTATCGAATCCTGAATTTGTTATTATTATGCAATATGGTTTTATTTGTCTTGATCTTACCATTAAAAAGCCATAAGCTGTGGCAATAAACAAACAAACAAAATTGTTGTTCATGTTAGTAAATATATTTAAAGTAAAATTATTTGTAAAATTTGTATTAACATTATTATTATTGTATTATAACATTTATTATGTACTGTAATATAACCTTATTTTAAAGTCCTGGTTAATTTAATTTAATTTGAATTTAATTTTGTTTTCATTTATAATTTAATTTTGTTTTGTTTTGTTTTGTTTTCTTTTTCTTTTTATGTTATTTTACAACTAGAGAGAGTGTACCAGAATCATTCCTCAAACATTCCTCAAGAAAGTAAATGTACCCAAATTATCCTACCCTTTTGGCAGATGTTATAGGCAAAAAATTTCTCTCTCTCTCTCTTTCTCTCTCTTTCTTTTCTTTTAGGTTCTTTACCAGCAGTTTAAGTTCTTCCTCAACTTGTATTTTCTAGTAGTGGCCTGTTCTCAGTTTGTTCCTTCACTAAAGATAGGATATTTGTACACCTACTGGGCCCCATTGGTGAGTACGTCTGACCACACAAAGCTACTCAATAATGTTAATTCATTCATCACTTTTGTTGTTACTTGTGTTTTTTCTTCTTCTTTTTCTTGTCGTCCAGGGCTTTGTGTTGGCTGTCACCATGGTGAGAGAGGCGGTTGACGAAGTTCGCCGCTGCAGGAGAGATAAAGAGATGAACTCCCAGCTGTACAGTAAACTCACAGTGAGAGGTGACCACAATATGACACATCACAAATCCTGATGTTATTAGACATGCTGTGTATCATTCACAGATCATCATATTTTGAGCTCCGTTCTCTAACTATAAGAGTTGCAGCATTTGGAAACTATTAAGATGATTTAGTTCATAATGATATTTAGCTGATATACATTTAAATTGTACAGTTCACATTATAGCAGGGTGTCTGTGGGATCTTACATAGTCTTAAAAATACTTAAATTCATTGAGTTATTGTGTTGTTGTCATTTAAACAGGTCTTAATTTTCGTGTGTCCAAGTACGGCTATCCAATCAGGCTGACACCTAATCACCAATTATCCATCTCAAGACTTTAAAAAATATATATTTAAGTGTTTTATTGCAATGAGATACAATTCACAACAGCTGTTAGACATTTTACAGCAAATTCTCTGAATTAATACTCTGATAAGGAAAAGAAGTAACACATCCCTTTACATGATCTTCTGTTAATACCAAAAGTGTTTACAAATGTAATCGAGCCATTAGAAAAATCCTATCTTTAGCCCCGTATAAGTCTAAAATTTCATTCATAATGGTCTTAAAAGGGATTTAAAAGTCTTATTTGACTTGAAGAAACCTGCAGAATCCCTGTATAAGTATGTATTACAAGTAAATATTCTCATTAAATATTTAAGTCACACTTTACAATAAGGATTCATTGGTTAATATGAACTAATACCTTTAAGGTATATTTTTTCGATAGTCTACAGAACAAACCATTGTTATAAAATAATTTGCCTAATTACACTAACCCAATTAAACTAGTTAACCTAGTTAACCTAGTTAAGCCTTTATATGTCACTTTAAGCTGTATAGAAGTGTCTTGAAAAATATCTAAAAATTATTTACTGTCATCATGGCAAAAGTAAAATAAATTGGAAACACGGAACAAACACGGAAAGTCTCAACCTCTTTGTATGAGGAACTACTTTCTTTAGCATTGGATTAAAATCATAAGCTGCCTGTTAAACAGCTGAGCAAGCATCTTTTAAACTTTAGATCTGTAGTGTCTGCTTTTTGCTGGCTGTAATACACAAAGGGTAAAGAGGCTGTAATGGTGCTGATATTACTTAAATATATCACGTCTATCAGCCAATCAGGTTTGAGAACCAGACAGTACTGTTGTATAAATATATATATATATCATCGTTGCGAGCCATTTGTTATTAGGAAAGGCATATATACATTTTTATGATTAACATTAAGTTACTTTACGTTATTCATGTTTTTACCCGCATTCAGATTGCGCTCAATATATTTTGTGACCTCACTAAATAAACGATAGATCATAATAGGAAGTGATAGACTTTTTGTTTCATACATTTGATATATATTGTCATATTTTACAGTCCTACTAAAATGTATTTGTATAATGTATAATGTATAGCAGTTGATTTGTAAAATTGTGCATTTATTAGATGGGCTATAAAATATAAAAAAATCTACATTATACAAAAATATTACATTTATTCATAAAAAAAAATTGCTAAATTAAAAATTAGCAAATTTGCATCATTTCTACAATATATTTCAAATTTTTATCATGTAAAGTGTGCTCCACCTTATATTACAAAGCAAAAAATATAAACGAAGAAAAACATGCGCAAAAGCCTGCCTACATTAAAAGGGCCATGAGAATTTCAATAGGTCATGATGTTTATAATTCGTTCATTCATTTTCTTTTCGACTTAGTCCCTTTTTTTAGTCCGGGGTTGCCACAGCGGAATGAACCGCCAACTTATCCAGCACGTTTTTACGCAGCGGATGCTGTTCCAGTTGCAACCCATCTCTGGGAAACAACCATACATACTCAATCACACTCATACACTACGAACAATTTAGCTTACCCAACTGACCCTTCGCTAAGCCACACCCAAAAACCGCCATGCACTAATCGTGGCTTAGCAACCGTAGCTACGCGCAGGGGCTCTGTCAAGCTTTCGAGTGAGGGAAACAGGCCAGAGCGTTGTGCATATGGATTGTGCAAATTTCATACTCTGTATCCTTAAAGTTTGGATGGGATGATGTAATTTTTTCCCTTTTCAAAACCAAAAACCCAAGGGGAGAATTGCCAGCGTGGATCAAGCTGGGTGGGGCGCTAAAGGAGCGGAGTTAAGTTGGTTTTGCTTTGATATTCCTGACACATTCAGTGATAGACAGCAATAACTCACACACCTCTTACATTACCAATACCTCTTAAATTAAGCAGATCTAAGTTGTGTTTCCTACAAAAATACAAAGCAGGTTGTTTCACATGTTATGAGTAATGCTCCGTTTAATCCCATAGTTACTAAGTCATACTAATAGAGAATAAGTCTTGAGTTATTGATCTGGAAAATACGAATCTGCAAATCTGTTGCCAACTTTACTGAACTTAATATTTCCATCTATTTCAAGCTACGAATATTTGAAATTACAAAATAACAGAAAAAACGAGATATGATCACAAACTGAGCACTTGCGATCAATATACTTTACCCCCAGCTGTTTTTCATTAATTTATAAAGAGCACACAAACATACTGACAGTTATAGGTAACTTACTGTACATTGTTATGGGTCAATGATGCTACTATTTAGCACAAACCCACCAGTTTCCCCTTTCTGGCTGTTCTTTCTATAAATGAATTATGTAGATCAAAGCACTGCCCATGCGTGTTTCCTCGTCGGCTAGTAATGCTATTTTTAATTGCACAACATTTAATCTATCAGGCTTTTTGGCTAAAATTAGATAAATCATGGTTTAATTTATTATTAGATTATTTTTTAATTTTACCTCTCCTGCTGGGGATGAGCTAAGCTGTTAAATGGTCTCGTATGAGGCAGCTATGCCAAGCTAGCTTCAATTTTGATTGAATTATTCTCTAATCGGTTGCCTAATATGTCGTGAATATACCCCTGTAATGCATACTGCAGTCCTTTTTGTCTGGCTTTCTCTGATATCTCACCTGTTCGCCAAAAATGACATTATATCTCTGGCAATGTCTGACACCGGCGCATACACATTGTAAAAGTCATGCCAGGCACGAAAGCTTGACAGGCATAGCAACAATAACTAAGGAGGGCTTGGCTTAGTGAAGGGTCAATTCACCTGTACCACATGTCTTTGAACTGTGGGGGAAACCGGAGCACCTGGAGGAAACCCACGCGAACACAGGGACAACATGCAAACTCCAAACAGAAATGCCAACTGACCCAGCGACCTTCTTGCTGTGAGGCGAAAGCACTACCTACTGTGCCACTGCATTGCCTGATGTTTATAATGAATGGTGTTAATGGTGAATACAAATATAATTAATTTATTCATCAAACAACTAGGAGGGAAACGCAGTGGCGCAGTAGGTAGTGCTGTCACCTCACAGCAAGAAGGTTGCTGGTTCGAGCCTCGTCTGGGTCAGTTGGCGTTTCTGTGTGGAGTTTGCATGTTCTCCCTGCGGCGTGGGTTTCCCCCACAGTCCAAAGACATGCAGTACAGGTGAATTGAGAAGGCTTAATTCTCCCTAGTGTATGAGTGTGATTTGAGTGTGTGTGTGTGGACGTTTCCCAGAGATGGGTTGTGGCTGGAAGGGCATCCGCTGCGTTAAAAGTGGTGGATAAGTTGGCATCATTTTATTTGTAAATTGTTATTATTTTGTAAAGATTTATTTTAAATTAATAAAATAGTTAGGAAATTAAATGAAATAATAATAATAATAATTAATGTAAAATAATTCTTTACATTTTGGTGGTACTTTAAGCTATTTTTAATTATTTATAAATGAAATGGACTCCTGCGTCACTTGTCTTAGTTTTTTCTCTGTCAGTAATTATCATTATTATATATGAATATATTATACACCTGAAAATAATATCATAATTTCATATTATAACACAATATTATATTCAATATTATATTATATTATTATACATTATTATATATTATATTAGATGCACATAGTTTTTTCTAGAAGTTTTATTTGAATGTAAGATTTTTATGATTTTTATTGTCATGCTTGTGCATTTTTTATTATTATTAATAATCACCAAATTGCAGATCAGATTTTTTTTTTCTAAAATATGCAATTAAATATGTAATATTACATGCATAAAATACAAGCGCTATCCTTTACAATTCTGTGAATGAAAACGGGTGATATGCCACTTGTTGAACTTCAGTGATAATTCAATTTCATCACACAAAGAATGCAAATGGCTTCTGTTAAACGCCTTGTCTGGGTTTAATTTCCGAATAAATTATCCATAATGAATGTCTTTCTCCATTTAGTGGGAAACGGGTACTCCACTAGGGGCTTTTGAGTGCATGTGTGTGAAAACATACCAGCTCTTCTCAGTCCCAGTTCATATTAATTGTTAGAAAAAGAAAAAAGAAAAAACAGAACCGGTATTTAAGAATGAAGTCATTACATAAGATAAATATAATTAATATATATTTATATATATGCTGTAAATAAATGAGGTTGTTATCTTGTTACAGCCAATTTACACACATTAAAAGTGTCTTCGTCACATGCAATTGACCTAAGGCTAAATAATTAATTCTAATTACAATAATTTGTTTATCTTGCTTTTCAGGCAAGGTCCAAGTAAAGAGCTCTGACATACAGGTCGGAGATTTAATCATTGTGGAAAAGGTTTGTTGTTCTTTTTTTCATCCCTTCCTCTCTTTTGTTGTTAGAGGTATCAGCATAAACTTGCCGCTATGTGATCCGTCACATGAAATCCTGTCATTCTTTCAGTAGGACATTGTGTCTGTCTCTCCCCTCGCTGTCTGTGGTTCGCTTTAATTGCTTGCTAGGAAAATGACCTTGTTCAATTATTCAACACAATGCTAAAATAGGACTAACGTTACAGAGCTGGAGTTGCTAACATACATATATATGCTCACATTATTGATAAGTACAGCTTTAAGTTGTATAAGTTAGCTATGAATTATTTTAACAGTATAAGCTGCTCACTTGGTTTTAAAACTAATGGCATGTTAAAGGTCTCATAAAATAAAAACAAAAAATTTTAGATGTTATTATCTGTATTGTTAGTTTATAGCATATCTATTAGCTAATGCGCACCAAAACAGTGACAAAATTCATGTGTAAGGCTGATATGGAAAGGTTGTTGTTTGTTGCATTGGCTTAAATGGATCAATGGTTTTATCCATTTCACCTCATACCGTCAAATCGTGACCAATCAAATGCTCTCTAGTATCTGACATGCCCTGCCCCCTTCAAGATGGCTTAATGTGCTTGAGCTCAAACAGTGTGACTGGCAGAGTGGTGATAAATCCAAATGCTATTGGCTGTTTGTTTTTTTTTAAAGGGAGGAGCTACTTTATGTCCCGCCTTTTCATGATGTTTCGGTTGAGATTACATCAAACATAAAAAAAATGCACATTTCAAAGTACTTCACAAGATCTTGAACATCATGCACCCATGTGTGACGTCTTAAATTTTATGTTTTGCAGAATCAGAGAATTCCTGCTGATATGATTTTTCTCAGAACTTCTGAGAAGACTGGTGAGTTTCACTCTTCATATAAATAAAATACCCCAAAACATTTAGACAGTTTCAGTCTATTTCCATCATTGAATTAGACTACACTATATCAAATTAAATGACATCTAACTTGTGTAGCTCAGGTCAATTTATTAAATGAATAGTCAGTCAAGTTCATAAGAGAGTAACCACTAATGTTTCATTACGACAAAGTGGAAGCCTAACAAACATCCTTTTGAGAGAACCACAAAGTGTGCTTGTGGAAAAACTTGATTGTTTTACATATTAAAGTTATCCTTACACCGAAAAAAGAAAAAAAAGAAAAACGGAATTGTGATGATTGAGCTGATTTTAAATAAGTAGTTGGAACAAACAGCAAAAATGTTATTTATTTATTTATTTATTTTAATAACAGCTGGTGCTTCACTTACTCTTTGCTTTCTACACTCGCTGGCCACTTTATTTCACCTGTCCAACTGCTCGTTAACACAAATTTCTAATCAGCCAATCACATGGCAGCAACTCAGTGCATTTAAGGATTGTAGACATCGTCTATAAGATATAAATGTATAGATGCTGTATATATTTTGTCAGAGAAATTTGACTTCAGCATTGCTTAATAGGCAATCTCAGCTCTTGGAACATGATAAACACTAAAGGTTTTGCTCTGAAGGTTTAAAGACAGCGACCTTTGCTGTCTGCTGCCTGCTGTTATATCAGTCTTGTCTAAGATCAATATGAACAATATGTTAAGCATTCAGAGTTCCTTAGTGTATAGGGACCAATGATTTGTCCCATAACAAATGCGTCCTTCACACATACATCTCCAGCCCTCTCACTTTTCTCTCTCTAAACAAAAATAATGCCAATCCAGAAACAGATCTGTGGATGTTGACAGCTTATGTAAGAGTTTTGACTGTAACATGAGATTATTGGTTTTATCATTTTTATTCTGTCAGATTTATGATGTTTTTACTTTTCAGGTTCGTGTTTTATAAGAACGGATCAGCTGGATGGGGAGACAGACTGGAAGTTGCGAATCGGTGTTGCTTGCACACAAAGACTTCCTGCCTTAGGGGTATGAAAACATTACATCCTCAATATTGTTGCGAACTTAATGTGTGTTTCTGCAAATATTTGCTAATTGTTTTAAACTAAATCAAGTCCCAAGCTTTCACTTTTAACGTCACATTCAAAAATGTATAGTCTATAGCAAATTAATTAACCCTCCTGTAAAATAAAAAAAATATATATTTCCCATGTTTTTTAATAGAGATTTTTTTCAACACATTTATAACATAAGTTTTAATAACTGTAATAAATAATATTAGTATTTAGCATCATAACAGTACATAATTTTTACTAGTTATTTTGCAATATACTAGAATTCTGCGTAAAGTGCAATTTAAAGGCTTAACTAGGTCATTTAAAGGTGTTGTATGTAAGTTTTTGACTCTTCTCTAAAGCATAAAAATACCATAATCGGACCCACTAGTTTTTTGCGAGTTTTACATTTTTTGGGGGGTGATTTTTCGTGATTAAAAACTCAAAGTAATTTGCAAACAATTTTGCAATTAAAATGTATATTTATTTTCAGTAAAATGGCATTTAAACTCACATTATTAGCATTTAACACTGAATAAAGCACATGGGATGTACCTGAGATGATTGTAGTTTACCTGTGGGAAATAAAAGTCATTTCTAAAATATAAATTTCAGTTGTTGCTTTGGATAGAATATTTCTTCTATCATATGCCGTTGCTTTTAGAAAACTGTTCAGATCAGCTTTAAATCAGCCTTTAGGCTTGATAGTCCGGCACACTCATGTCAATCTGGCAACTTGTGCTTGCATGCGCTTGACGAAGGAGGAGCAGAATGAAAATGTGTTTTGATCCAGGAGTGCAATACCTAGTTCAACCACTGGGTGTCAATTTTACATACTGCACCCTTAAAGGGCCGCAAAACCTCCCTGTTTCAGGAAGGTTTTTTTACGCCTCTAGTTTACAAAAAGTCAGGAAAGTGGGTGTTTTCAGCTCTGTTTAGGTGGGAGTGTAGGGGGAGGGAAGGAGAGAAGGTTTTGCATAAAAATGGGAGTTTCCATTTGGGCACACACTGATTTTCACAGAGGCAAAACAAACACACAGACACAGGGGAGAAAGACTGTGACTGTGTTTAAATGGACATCAGTACAGGAATTATTTGCCAAATTAATAATTTGTGGACTTAACTGAAGCTTGGCACTTTCAATCAGGAACATTTCATCCATGTCTTCTATGTCAAATGAGATATTGCATACGAGTAACTGCTGGAAGACTGTAGTTTTAATTTAATGTTTAATACTGCACGAATGAAAAAAAAAAACAAAAAAACACTCCGCATTTCTTTCTAACTTAGATGCATTTGGTAGGTAGCATCAGAAAGATGTGAGTGTCGACTAAAATTCGACTATCCTGTCACAAAATTCTGCAAAAACTCTACACGACAGTAATTGTTTGATTGCGGTGTTTTCATTTAGAGAGCCGCATTTACAGTGGATCTTTCAGTCCATAACATTCTAGTCATATTAACATGTTAATACTTAAACTCAGTAACTTAGAAATCATTTAGGCTAAGGTATGTTATTAAACACTGAAAGAATACTGCTGATGATAACAAATAACTTTTTAAATTTTTTTTTTATTAATGTCAGGGTAACAATAACATCATATAAATTTTGTTACAAAGAGTGTACATGGGTTTTTCAGAGGAGCAAAGCATCAAATAAGCACATAAAAGAGAAAAGAAAACAACAATAAAAAGAAAAACAAATGTTATTAACTTATGTGTTACGAAAATTAAAAAAGGAAAATAAGTTAACTGTTCTAATGGCTTTAAGATTTTTAGAGGAAGCAATAGTTCTAATGTACTGTTGAATTTCCTTTTCAAAAACAATAAAAATAAGGTATACGCTGAGAATTTACAGCGGCGTATATGAAATTTAGCAAGGATTAAAAGGAGATTAATAATGAAATACTCCTTACTTTTATCATCAGGAGCATTAAAAAAACCCAGCAGGATATCCTTAATAGATAACAAGAATCCTGGTGGTATTTTACGATGAATATCTAAAGAAAGTTCTATCCAAAAGCATTGTGTATGAAGGCAACTCCAAAATATATGGTCAGCAATTTCATTGGGTATATTACGGAACGAGCATCTGTATCTATATCTGATTTAAATCTTTTCAAAAATGTCTTCGCTGGGTAAAAACTGTGTAACAGTTTAAATGATAACAACTAACTTTGCCTCTGAATAAACAAACAAAGACCACCGTTCGCTTACCAAATCTGTAGAGACAGGACAATCAACACCAACTAGAACCGCATGTTTTTTTTTTTTTAAAAGACAAGCAGCAAATCCGGATTTCAACATTTCCAGATGTGAAAAGCTCTCGGGTAAAAATTTTCCTTACCAACATATTTCTGCCGCGTGTCGTGTGCACTGTAATCCACACGTAATTCCAGCTGTGCTCTCATAGCAGGGAAATGAAAACAAAACCTTCATTACAGCACATTTATAAAAGCAACACTGACGACCCATGTCTCCAAATAATTCTTCTTCTTCCACTTGTTTTGGTAACGCAACGTGGCGTCTTTCTGCCGTCTGAACACTCTTAACAGGTAAAAGGCTATCATGCATATTAATGAAGCAGCACCTCATACACAATAGAGCGTGCTAATTGCTTGAACATAGTCTTTTTTCATGAATTAATGCTGCAAACTCAGAGACGTCTCGAAGTACTCCCAGGTCCAGACATCCACTTTCCACGCTGGAATACACACAAAGATCTAATCGCTGTGACGCAGCTTCAAACCGGAAGAACGAATTTGCTCAATAATGCAAAAACAACTAATTTTCACTTTTTTACCAAATAAATGCATCCTTACAGTTTTTTTAGCAACGTGGGACACATATATGTCTGTCAACAGCTGTTTTGGTGTTTCGTGACCCTTTAAAAATCATTAGACAACAATGGTTTGTTCTGTAGCTATTCAAACAAACAATTTCTTAAGTGATGGTTATAATATTGACCTTAAAAGGGATAGTTCTGAAAAATCTGTTATCATTCACTCAGCCTTCACGGTTTGTTTCTTCTGTTAAACACAAAAGAAGATATTTTGAAAAATGTTGAAAGGCAGTAACTATTGACTTCCATAATATATATATATATATATATATATATATATACTATGGAAGTCAGTGGTTACAGGTTTCTAACATTAATTTAGAATAACTTCTTTTGTGTTTAAAAAAAAACTCAAAGGTTTTAAACTACTTAAGCTTAAAAACATTTTCATTTTTAGGGTGAATTGTTCTTTTAAAAATAGGACAGCAGGAACTGCAAACTAAATATATATATATAATATATATATATATATATATATATATATATATATATATATATATATATATATATATATATATATATATATATATATATATATATATATATATATATATTGTATATATAACAGGAAATACTGTGAAAATGTTCTTCTGTTAAACATTTTTTAAGGAAATGTTTGAAAAAAAATGACTGGAGGGCTTAATAATATTAAATTAAACTGTATATACATACACACATACATATTATCTAATAATTATTCACATAATATTTAATCATGTTAAATAGGAAAAAAAAGTGCTCAAAAATATAACATTTTCCCCTTCATGTCTTTTTATTAGCATATAAATAATCAAAAGTTTAATGAATAAAATATATTAGATAAAAATAACATAAGATCATTAAACATAATTAGCACTGCTGCATCCCAAATCACATTTCAGCCCCTTCTGTCCTGTTCTGAGCACATTATTTAAAATTTGTGGCTAAGAAGTAATTATTTATTTATTTTTGGTATGGTCAGAAATAAAATTGTTCAATCCTTAATTTTTAGCTCTGAAAAGTCATGTGAAATAAAAAGAAATTGCAATGTGACACTATGAAACTGTAATCCATTTGCTCATGCTCATTGAGCAAGCTCATACACACCACACAAAAAAGTGGATTGAATGAGGAGGCATGTAGACATAACACAAAATCTAAATCAAGTCATTCTAGCATGTTAAACTCAAATTTATGCATATAAAATATATTTTCCCAACAACAAAATTGTGGCTAGTGAAAATGACAAGTGGCTTGTAAAGTTGCAAATCTACTAGCCACAGTGGCTAGTGATCAAAAAAGTTAATGTCAAACCCTGTATGTTAGAATGTTAAATTTAAAAAGACTGGCAAAAATATATTGCTCCTTCACATCATTTTTGGAAGAAATATGAAGGAAAATAAGTTTGATTTTAATATATTTAATAAAATAACACAAGATCGTCAAGAATGATCAGCAACCATCTTCTTCTGTAGTAAAAGCCGCTGCATCCCAAAACACATTTCAGCTCCTTCTGTCCTGTTCTGTGATGAGTCTGTAACTTAACCCCCGTAGGCAGTGAGTGATGTGTCCCACACTCAGACTCTCTCAGGCTGATGATACGAAGGCTCATGTTTGATATCAGTGTGTATCTGATTTACTGGCCCAAGGGTTTGTTTCACATGGGCCGGTAACTTTACCCCTAGAGACAACTGGAATCCGCCAAACGGCCTGTCTCCCGGTGCCATCGGCGTGGAGATGACACTCACCTCAAGCAAGGGTTCACGTTTGTATTTGTCTTTCCGAAACCACTTAATGTGATCACAGAATTAAAATTTCAGCAAGTCGGCGAATGATTGCCGGTCGGATCGGGTGTCTGGTGGGCTCGACAGTCAGATCGCCTGTTTTTCATACACGTCATCAAATGCAGAAGTCATTAGAATTTGTAAGCAAGCCGTCAAACGTTTGGTTTCGTTTTAATTATGTTGTTTTGACTGCATAATCTGTTCTGTTTGAAACCTAGGATGTCAGAAGGGGCTGATTGTCATGAGAATCGCTTTGATTGCTAGTCGCTTTGAGTTCTGCCATAAAGCTTGCACGAACAAGAGGCTGGGTTTGGGCCCAGAACTGTGCTTCTGGTGCTGATTTATAGTGTCAGTGTTTTTTCTTGACCTTTTCCGTTTGCTGTTTGCAGGATCTCTTCTCCATCAGCGCGTACGTTTACGTCCAGAAGCCTCAACTGGACATTCACAGTTTTGAGGGGAACTTCACGAGGGTAAGAGAAACTGCTGTTAATGAAGGAATTTTTACGAGGATTCATTTTAGCTTGCGCCGTGACGTCAGGGCATCAATTTAAACCTGCTGTTAGGTTTTTGTAGAGGTATTTAATGCTGTGTTGTTGCCCAGTAAACTAAACCTAACTGCTGTTTTTAATTGTACATTAAAATAACACGGATTCTCAAAGTGTGCCTGTTCACATGACTATGAGCTGAAGTGTCTGTGGAATGCAAAAGAGATGCATTCTTCGCCACGCTGATGACATCACGGGTTGTTAGGCTCACTCCCAGCCCATTGGCCGAGCACAGTTCCTTATTAACAGCAGATTAGCACAGTACCGGAGAAAGAGAGAGGGAGGGAAAGTAAAAAAAAAGACCCCCCACATGAAGCCTGTCTTTGTTTGAAGTCTTCGCTCTTGGCCACACAGCATGCAGGGGCAGAAGATCACTTCCTGCGCTGAGTCACCCTCCTGAGCCTGCTTTCACAAATCTACAGCTACGGGACACGCTTCCAAATGCTGTTTCCCACAGTTCTTTACTTGCACACTTGCTGCACCTTACTGCCTCTTCAGTGCTTTGTTTGTTTAAAGGAGTAGTTCGCCCAAAAATGTTGTCGCTATTTACCCACTCTGCTGTTAAAGAGAATTTTCTTTCTTCTTGGAACACAAAAGCATGTGTGTTTTTTTTTTAAAAAAGCAATATTTTTAGTAGCTGGCAGCTCTATTAAAATCAATGTTAATTTATATACAAATTTTTCTAATTAGCCGGCAGCTAGCTCTCTGCAACTTTAACATGGTCGCCCACTGAAGCTAAGCAGGGCTGCGCCTGGTCAGTACCTGGATAGGAGACCACATAGGAAAGCTAGGTTGCTGCCGGAAGTGGTGTTAGTGAGACCAGCAGGGGGCACTCAACCTGCTGTCTGTGTGGGTCCTAATGCCCCAGTATAGTGAAGGGGACTCTTTACTGCTCAGTGAGTGCTGTCTTTTGGATGAGATGTTAATCTGAAGTCTTGACTCTCTGTGCTCATTGAAAATCCCAGGATGTCCTTCGAAAAAGAATAGGGGTTTAACCTCGGTATCCTGGCCAAATTTGCCCACTGGCCTCTGTCCATTATGGCCTTCTAACCATCCCCATATCATAATTGGCTTTATCACTCCATCTCCTCTCCACCAATCAGCTGGTGTGTGGTGTGCGGTCTGGCGCAATAAGGCTGCAGCCACATCATCCAGTTGGATGCTGCGTGCTGGTGGGGGATGAGGAGATTCCCCCCATTGTGTAAAGCACTTTGAGTGCCCAGAAAAACGCTGTATAAATGTAAACAATTATTATTATTATCATTATTATTATTATTTTATTATTTTTTTTATAGAATGAAAGTGAGTCAGTTAAGCTCTGAAATGATGGAAATGTGCTATAAAAACATCATGAAATTGCTTCATAATGGCTTCTTATGCAAATTTTTAAAGTTAGATTTGTTTAGGAGGTCTCTTTACATTCATCTAAGGTCAAAAAACACTTTACCTTTCTCATAATGTACCGTGGAAATTAATTAGATAAAATAGATGAATAATAATAAGTAGAGGTAGAACAGCAAGAAGTTCACTGGTTCAAGCCTCGGCTGGGTCAATTGGCATTTTTGTGTGGAGTTTGCATGTTCTCCCCGTGTTCGTTGGGTTTCCTCCGGGTTTTTCGGTTTCCCCTACAAGTCTAAAGACATGTGGTATAGGTGAATTAAGTAAGCTAAATTGTCCATCGTGTATGTGTGTGAATGAGTGTGTATGGATGTTTCCCAGTGGTGGGTTGCAGCTGGAAGGGCATCCGCTGCGTAAAACATATGCTGGATAAATTGGTGGTTCATTCCGCTGTGCCGACCCCAGATTAATAAAAGGACTAAGCCGAAAAGAAAATGATTGAATGAATGAATGAATTTAACCCATATAAATTGTTTGCAACCACTTACCTTAAAAATCCAATAAATAGTTTTTTTCAGCATGGGCTTTATGCACAGGGACTTTTAATTTTGATTGTGCAAACTCAATTGCTTCCGGTAAATGCCATTTATAAACTCACCATGCTTAAGATCTGATGCATTTAAACTCAATGACCTCCACTACCTGATTTAGATATGATGTAAAATGAGGATCACACTGCACAAAAATCAATAAATTACATAGTTCATGTCTTTAAATTTTGGAAATTTATATTATCCTAGTATTTTCAATAGAGTGTCCATGCTAACCTGCTCTTCATGGCGACACTTGCATTTAAAATCATGTTTTACTTTTTGACAACTAAATTAATGGTGAAGTCTATTTAACTGATTAGATTCTAATTAAATGACATCAGTGATATTGTAAAAGCTACCTTAAAATCTTGAAATGGTCACATAAACTTTTTACCGGAAGTTTATCGGTGGCTGAAAAACACTTGCAGTGCATTTAGCTCATTGTGTATATGATAAAATGTAGAATTAAAAATTAAATAGTAGGAAAATATAAGTTTTACAACTTTAAGTAGCTTAACAATTGTTTACATAGGATAAAAAATGTTGTGTGCTAATTGTTTAAACTCCTTACTTTAAATGAGCTGAAACTACACAATTCTTAAGTTTATTGGGAGACAACCAAATAGTTTTATGTTCAATCTACTTAAATTTGTAAAACTAATTGCCTTAATTCCTTCATATTGCCCCAACACAAATCCGTTGTGTAGAACCTTGCAGTTAGAGTCGCATTACCCCAAATGTTGAAAAGTGCCACTAAGACATCAATACAGCAGTTTACAATGACATTTTAATTTGTTGATTAATGATTTGATTGATTTGTTTCTGCTTGTACTATTATCATTTGTTAGTCGCTTTGAATTAAACAATCCATAAATGTAAATGTAAAAATCATTCTTTATGTCAGTCACACACGCACACATATTTGCTCATATCAGAGAGGTCAGGCCATGTAAAAGCTCAGGACTGTGTTCTCTCCTGATGTTATGTACACTTGTCTGTATGCCTCCGTATTTAAACAGGTGTGTAGGTTTATTTAGGTTTACTTTTTGGGGGCAGTTGGCACCATCCTCATTTATGGGGAAAACATTTGCATGCTAAAAACCTTTTTTTTTGTAGGGTTTGTGTTCATTTCTTGTGTATACAGTATATTACATTTATATTAGGTATGCGTTAGTTGTATATGCGTTAGTATGTATATATACACTGCCAAATAACAAATCTGCATTTTTTTTTTAAATAAAAAAGTAAAAAGAATTGGTAATAGTTTCAAATAACTCTTAACGATTCTTGAAGTTGTGCTTTAAAAAAAAATGTTTATTCAATAGAGCATTCAAAATAAAAGCATTTGTTTGCACTAGTAACAATGTCATAGTCTTAACTGTCACTTTTGATTGTTTTTTAACTGAATAGAAATGTACTGACTCTCAACTTTTAGTATCGTAAAAGTAAGTCCCAAAATAATAATAAATATAGCTGCAAGCCAACCACTTAAGAGGCAGAATAAGCAAAGCAGCCCAGAGGCAGAATAAGAAAAGCAGTTCAGAGGCCAAAAGCAGCAAATAAACATATTTTAAGTTATTAGCAAATTTATGATTCATTATTGATAGTTAGTAAACGGTTTATAACTCCACTAGGTGGCAAATTTATGTGTTGGAGTCAATGTGAGTTGCCAATGACAGACCTAAAGATCAGTGTCAATATGTTTAAGCATTGCAGAGTTACAGCATCAGATTCACTTTGATGTCCTGCTAGCACGTTTGTCGATGTCTTAAACGAAAACCATTTTGCTGATTGATATAATTTCCATAAATTTTGGTCAGCATGGCTTAAAATAATCAGAGACAAATTTGGTGAAAATTGAATTAATTGTCAAGGAGGAGTTAGCAAAACAAGGTTTTTGAACAAAATCAATATGGCAGACAGGAAGTTTGCCCAAATATGGCATGTTTGGTGTCAATGTTCACGGCAAGACGCAAGGAATAATTTGCTATCAATTATACCACAAGAAGCCTGTGCAATCAACATGTATTAACCATTTAGGAAGATTCATTATTAATGGTTAGTTAACGGTTTATAATGCATGACCACAAGGCGGCGCTGTTACCAAATTAATGTATGGTGGTTATTGTGAGGCGCCAATGACACACCTAAAGATTAGCGTCAATATGTTTAAATGTTGCAGAATTACAGCCTCAGACGATCTTTGACAGCATGCCACCACATTTGTCAGTGGCATAAACAAAAACGGTGTCACCTCTCAACATTAATTCCATAACTTTTTCCCAGCATGGTCTTAAAGAACATCTTAGTCAAATTTTATGAAAATCGGAAAGACAGTCTAGAAGAGGTTGGAAAAAATAGATTTTCAAGATGGAGAGGAAGTTTACTTGATTTTGGCATATTTGTTATCAGTGGTTTCAGCATGATTCAGGGAATATAGCAAGACAAGTGTCATATCAATGAGAAGTTAGAGAAAAAGTTATTAGCATTTTTTAAAAAATTGCTTATACCTTTTGGCCGCAAGATGGCGCTGCACCAGAAGTTTGATTTTTAAGGCATAGTGTCGAAGATGCATACCATGTTTTGTAATCATATGTGAATATGTTTGTAAAATATAGCATTTTTTTTTTTTTATCTAAATGGCCAACGCCCAAAATGGCTGGCCTGGAAAAATCATTCATGGAGAAATCATTCGACTCTGCATGCTCTGTCATGAAGTAAAGAGAACAGTTTTATGAGTTTTGGACAAAGGGTTGAGACGTTTGCAAAAAAGCATTTTCTTGTATCTCCAGACCACTAGAGAGCAGTGCGCCAAACCGCTGCATATAACTTTAGACCATGGTTGTCATAACACACACCAAGTTTGGTGTGAATATGTCAATGCGTTATGGAGATACTGTTCCATTTTTGCAAGCTCTATGTTAGATTTCTTCGCAAGTTAAACGAAAACGGTTCGTCGAATTAACCACAGGTACAGGGACACTGGAGCATTTTAAAGCCACGATTCTTTAGCGGATCACTCGTAAGTCAGCTTATAGACAAATCAGCTGATTGACGTGACTTTGAAACACTCCAGTGTCCCTGTACCTGTGGTTACACTCAGTAAACAGCAGTAAGTTTGGGCAACTGATAACCTTCACGGCCAATCACGGTCATTTCTGTTGAGCATGTGAACCCATTGACGAATCAGCAGTGTTTTAGAACGTGTTCAATAGTGCTTAATTGTTAGCGGGAAAGGGACATTTTCAAAATTTCAGTATCGATTTGTACCGAATTCCAGTATCGTGACAACCCTATGTGTGTTTCCCAGTACTGGGTTGCAGCTGGAATGGCATCCGCTGTATTAAACATATGCTGGTTCATTCCACTGTGGCAACCCCTGATAAACAAAGGAACTAAGCTAAAGAATGAATGAATGAATAATGCATGTTATATTGATGAATCAGTGCATATGTTCACACTTGTTGGAGTAAAGGGGAATTCACGGCGTTTAGATAAATCAGAGCTGTTTACATGCTGTATTTTAAAAATATATTTAACCCATAATGTAAAATTTGCTCAATTTAGTTTTTTCGAAAATATCGATCATTCAAATATTTTGACAAGCATCAATTCCATTATAAAATATCTTATTTATCCTGCTGAAGAAAGAATGTTATACAGGTTTTGAACAACATAAGAATAACTAAATATGGCAAAATATTCATTTTCAAGAGGAACTACACCCAAGTTATGACAGCCTTAAATCACTTAAATATGATGCATGCAAATGTTTCTCATTAAACTGGCAGAGTCATTTCTGAAATGTGAACAAATATATGCTCAATATGGAATGGTTCCTTTGAAAATGAACTAAAACATTATATTTTTTGTTTTTAAGATATAACTTTTATCATAAGTATGGAGTTTTGATTTATAGATTCAAACTCCATTTTCTTAAAGCCTGTTTTTCTTACTTATCATTGATAAAAGGCCTGTTCTTGAGATAAATCTCTCTCCAGCTTTTCGCCAATCTGACAGGTTGGCATTGCTCTACATCTGTTGGCCAGAAAGAGACTAATGACAAGAGCAAGTGGGCCGTCTTGAACAGAGAACACATCTCTTTCGCTGTCTGCATCAGTGCGCATGTCTCGGCAACCGCGATGTGTGTGGTCCTCTTTCTCACTGTATATTATGCCCTACTGACAGCGGATAATTAGATATCATCCGTATTCACCCAACCACAACATGTTATGTGGAAAAAAGCATTTAAAGATTTAATTTCTGCGCTTCTCCCTTGATTTACAGCCTGGCGTCACAAATTCTGTTCTGTTCTGCTCAGCACAGAGCGTGCTAACACCAAACGCAGCCTTATTATGATGTTCAGTGCTGTTTTAGTAAACAAGGCAAATCAAGTCAAACCGATTTCACCGTCCCCTCTAAATGGACTGTGTCGCTTAACTGGGCATTAGTGTAATTCAATCCGCCGTCTAATTCCCTACTTACCGTTCGCTGTGATGAAAGTTCATCGATTCATTATTTGTGCTTTGAGTCTTTGTCATTTTTATTGACCTGCTTTTTAAAGGCCATAATTGATAACCGCTTTCTTCCCCCCTGTGCTAGATAAGCATGAAATCAAAACAGACCGAGATGTATAAACCCACACTAATGTGCGATCTCTGTCCCCAGGAGGACTGCGACCCTCCCATCCACGAGAGCTTGAGCATTGAGAACACCCTGTGGGCCAGCACTGTGGTGGCATCTGGTAAGCAAAGAGTCCTTTCCAGCACCAAATTTCTTGAAGAAAAAACACCAGCCTCAGAGGTCTAAAATATTCATCGGCAGGTCAAATATCATTTGAGTTTATTGTGTTGTAGAAGAGTGTGCCGTTGATACCGAGTCGATCGGCCAGCATCACTCAAGACCCCCTTCGCTCTCCCGTTTGTTTGTCATTCGAGACCACCAGACTCATCTGCTGCTATTCAAACAATCTCATGAGTAGAGAAATATGAGGAGCCGTTAATGGGAAGCCAAAGTGTCTGGCTTTTTGCAGGCCTGTCCCTGCGGTGTCAATGAAACGTGTCCCCAAAGAACAGGTCCGAGATCGGTTTTTGCCGCTACGCTTTCTCCGACATCTCCTAGGGGTCTGTTGTTTAGAATCTGATCCCAGTCCAACAATAATAGCCGGCCTATTCCTTCAAGCGGCGTGCGTTTGTGCCAACGATCGGCTCTTCATTGATCTGTGGTTACCCCAGTCTTGGTTCTCCAGAGGTTCTTCTTATTCCCCAGCATGGTGTGACCTTCAGCCCAAGAAAGTCCTTCCATATCTCCCCACAAAACACCGTCTGGTGACGTCATCCCTGTCCAACTGAGCAGACCCAACACAAAACACCATGGGGCTTGAAAGCGATATGCCCTGTAGTCCTGGCCCATTAAACACCCCCTTGGGAGCGGCCTAGGTTTCGTTGCTTTCCATACACGAAACGATATGTCAAGCTTAAAGAAATTGAGAAATATTGAAGCTCGCTTGCAGTACACTTTATATTGTGTTACCGTGTTTAAATGAAAGTTCATCGTTTAGTGGCGAGGCTGCATACTCTATCCCTAATTAGTTTACTTTAATGAATCAGTCCATTACCAAAGCTGCACCATTGATCTGACTATAATAGGCCTCATTGTAACGGTTTATTTCTGGGTGTCCCACATATTGAATCATTTGTCTGAGTCTCGACTGCATCCGTTAACTGGAAATGCACTTTTTGAGCTAATTGTTCATTAGGCTGGCCTTAAACACACGGCATGTTTATTTATTACTATTCGTTTGCAGACAGTCATTCAATTTTTCATTTATTTTCCAGGTACTGTCATAGGTGTGGTCATATATACAGGAAAAGAGATGAGAAGCGTGATGAACACCTCACAGTCAAAAAACAAGGTAGGTTTGTTAGTCTTTTTATACATTAAAACCAAGCTCTTTTAATTACCCAGCAAACATTTTTTTGTTTTTAAAAGATTTCTAAACATGGTCGTCTTGGCTAAAACGAGGCTAAATTTCGGCTGTCACTGAAAATCTAATAGATGTCTAAGAATAGGCTAAAACTAGACTGGTCATCAAATAAACAGAAATGAATGACTAGACATATAAATTTTGACGACTAGACTAGTTTTGGGCTGTTCTTGGATGTCTATTAGATTTCCACTGAAAGCCCAAGTTTAGCCTTGTTTTAGCCAAAGGGGAACCTCCCGCTTTCCCTTGTGAAGCAGTTACGGAAGTAACTGAAACTGCAATTCATCAAATTGCGCTAGTTCTGGCTCCATAATAGATCGTTTCTATTAAGCCCACTGTTAAAATGGCCAACTGTACAGCAGAAAATAAGGTGTTTACAGCCTGTTACAAAAAACTATTTGGCGGGGCCACTTGAGTGACAGCTAGGTCTCACTGGTCGCCGTCACTTCACCACAGCTGATTCCGGCTGATTAGCCGCTGAGCTCTGAGTATATGCTATATTTGTTTTATGTGGCTTTACACCGTCAGTTGCTTTTTGGAATTATTATCAGATAATTATATATTATATATTATATATCAGATAATATAGCATGCTGTGTGCACTTTTATTGTGTTCACAAACCATTCACATGCCCTCTATTTCCCATGTGAGTGAAATTATATACTTATAAACCATATATATATATATATAAATGTATTTAATTTAAGATCATTTATCATTTATAATTTTCTTTAAAACTTGTATGCACTTAAGAGTCTGACCGATTGATTAGGCTATAGAACAGTAATCGGAATTGTTGTCATACAGTGTTATGCTTGGATTTCATAAATAGCCTTGCATTTACTAACAGACGATATTTGAAACATTTGGAAGTAATTTGCGCTTTCCTCCTGTAGAAAAGCATCATAAGAACAATGTTTAGTGGCTCAATGTATTACAACAGTGTTTTAAAGGACTAAACACTTTATTGCTATAGTATACAACCAAGCACATGTGGTCAGAACACAAATGAGTCGCAGGTAATGAAATATAAAGCGTTTCTCCGAAAGAAAAGCCCATCTAAATAAAATTCTAGTAGGTGTCTGTAGCTCCGCTCACACGCTGGCTCTTTGCACTTATTTAGTCACCCTTATTTGATTTGATGACGTGCAAACAAAATGGCGCCACTTGTAACTTCATTTGTACCCTTCAGGAACTTATGGTGACATCATGAATACTAAGTCCTTATCTATTACAGTCTATGTTTTTAGCTAAGCTTAGATGTCCATTAGACATTAATTAAACACAAAATTGTTTGCTAGGTAGTTTTCATCAGAATTCACAATTTAATGGCATGCAAGTAAGAGCTGTATCTACAGTTATATTGTCAATATCCACTAAACGTCGTCCAACTGTTCTTCTATTTTTCTTTTAACCTTTCAATATAGACTTGAAACAGACCGAATAAAAATAGCGAACAGTTGAGGTGGTTTTCAGCCCTGATCTTAGTGATGAATTTAGACCTGTCGATGTGAAAGGACAACCCCAGAGAGATTAATCTAGAGGGAAATTAACCAACCAAGGGCTTGCGTGACATTTGTGGCAGAGCCTTAATCCTGCAGAATTCCCCTTAATGATTAGATACAGTGGATGTCAATGCTGTAAAAGTAAACTTAAAAATGTCAAATCCCATTACACTCATTACCCCTCCCCTAGCTGACCCCTGCAGTCTTTGGCCTTTATTTCCTAATTTAAACTTATCCACATGGTTCAGAGCTGTACTCTTATGTACACTACTCTTCCAAATAAGTTGATAAGATAGTAATATTTATTTCATATGGATATACAAATATATCAGCCTCTATTGTGTCACATTCTGGCATTTCATTTGCAATAATGTTTTCTAAAAAGGCTCTTGCTTTTCCTAGTCAGAACAAAACTGTGCTGGATATACCCTAAATTAATTATATTTCATTTTTTACCTACTCTGAAGGCATACGGTTATCTGAAAAAATTAGGACACTTTATAAAATTCCACTTTTTTCCATATCAGGGCATACTTTATTTATTTTTTTTAAATAAAATAAAATAAGACCATGAACAACATCATACAGCATTAACAATAATGCGTCATGCACTGCTAGTTAAATCCCTGAACTCATCACCAGCAGAAGTTTTAGCATTTTGTTGGTCTGGAGCCTCCAGGTGTGTGTGAACACGATGTCCTTCCCACAGCTTAAGCTGAGACAAAAAATGGGTCATGCTACAAGACAGTGATCCCAAGCACAGCAGCAAACTTACAACAGCTGACAAAGAAATAAAATAGTAAGATGTTGCAATCGTCCAGTCAAAGTTCTGACGTCATCCTGTATGAAATGCAGTGGCAGGAGCTGTGCAAATTACTACACTACCTGACAAAATTCTTGTGGCCCATCTAAGTTTTAGGAACAACAAAAAATAGCTTGACTTCTAGTTGATCATTTGATATCAAAAGTGGCTTATTTGAAAGGCAAAGGCCTCTAGATTACGATTATTACCAAAATTGCTTGGACGACTGCATCCATACATCTCTGCAAATAATAAGTTAAATAACTTACTAATAAAGTCATCTGGAATGTTGAAGAAAGCAATCTTGCAGGATTTTCAGAGTTCATCAAGATTGTTTGAATTCATCCATTTTACCTCAGACATGCTCAATGTTCATGTATAGTGACTGGCCTGGCCATCTCTGGAGAACCTTGACCTTCTTTGCTTTCAGAAAAAGTGTCGTAGGGGCTGAAGTATGAGATGAAGTGCTACACTTCTAAAGAACTTGCCCTCTAATGTGGTTTGTAACGTAATGGGCAGCATTAATGATGATTAGGATGCAGTTCAACAGATGATTCATTGGAAAAATATACCTTCCGCCACTTTTACCAATGATCAACTAGAAGTCGTTATTTTTTGTTGCTTTTACAACTGAAATCAATAACAAGACTTTTGTCAGGTAGTGTACTTCAGAATGAACTGAAACTGATAAAGTCATACAGAAAACGATTACTATATTTAATCACTACAGAACTACGCGCATGTGAATCATAGGGCTGTTTTACCCCCATATCTTTCCAAATGTTAAGATGTGTCAATGACCATATCGTTTTTATGTCATGGTATCGAACTGTGAAGTTCAATAGAGTGTAGCAGAGTCAGTGGTAGATACCAAAACAACTGTCCAAGTAATTTTTTTTCTTTTTTCTTTTTCTTTTTTTTTTTTTTACCTCTGACAAGTTCTGCGTACAAAAACTCTGGTGAAAAACAGGTCAGTCAGAACACAATACAGACTGTTGCATTACTTACAGGGCTATTCATTAGCACACTCTTAAGATTTGTATTTACTTTAGATCAGGCTCTATATCATCTGGACCTAACAAGCAGCCACTTAATCTGGATATCAGCAGCCTAAAAGACTGATATTTTGCATATAGGATCATTAATATCCACACCCCAGGCTGCACTTTGAGATTATAACAATGACAATTTCCTTCCTTTTTTTTAAGTTTCTCAAAGTTTACTGTTAAACTTACCATTGGGAAACCTGTGCGAAAACAATCATCACTTAGCATTTAATTTGACAGTCAAAATCCATTTTTTAAAAGTATTTAAGGAACTTATCATTTTTAAAAATTGAATTAATCATCCAATTAAGTGCATTCGTTGAATCCATTTAGTGCCCATCATTTTAATATCAATCACCCTATGTGCTAAATATCAGCCTCACAAAACCCACCCAAGAAAGCCATCATGGTTAACCGCTCTTCTTCACGTCATGAAGTGTTTCAGAGGCTGTCATGGATGCTGTGAGATGTGTGTGTGATAGCAGCAGCTATTGCGGAGCTCATAGCTCTACCATGTTCTGTGTGTGAGAGTGGAATTCAATATCTCAAGGAGATGATGTCAGAGGTGCCAATACAGGGAACGAGACGGGGCGGGAAAGTCGATACGACTCCGCGAAAGTCACTGAGAACGTTTTCGCCTCTTATAATCTGTTGTGACATTCCTCACACAAAGCTCTAAGCTCTCACTAGAAGCTGCTGACAGCACATAAGCGATCACCTTACACTGTGTGTGTGTGTGTGTCTGTCATTGTCGTAATATGGAGCGATATTCTCTTTGAGGATCGAAGCTTTGGTGGTCTGAGTGATGTGAACAGCCCTCTTCAATGGGCAGATACCACGCTGCATGAGGTGTTATATTCACTGCTATAAGCAATGTAGATGCTTTTTAATTATATTTTATATTATGCATTTTAGACTTTTTTTATTTGCTTTGAACAATGTTAATGTTCAGTTGCATGTGTTTTATATTGTATTTTTGTAAGTCAGTTTTCAAAATCTATATTATTTTGTATATTTTAAGTGATGTAGCAATTTTATTATATATTTTACCTAATATATATATATATATATATATATATATATATATGTATGTATATATATATATATATATATATATATATATATCGTCATCATCATCGTCATCATCATTTTCATCCGCTTATCTGGAGCCGGGTTGCAGGGGCAGCAGTCTTAGGAGAGAACCCCAGACTTCCCTCTCCCCAGACACTTCTTACAGCTCCTCCGGAGGGATCCCAAGGGTGTCCCTGGCCAGCCGAGACATTGTCTCACCAGCGTGTCCTGGGTCTTCCCCGAGGACTCCTCCTGGTGGAACATGCCTGGAATACATCCCTAGATAGGCATCCTGGAGGCATCCGAGACAGATGCCCGAGCCACCTCACCTGACTTCTCTCGATGCGGAGGAGCAGCGGTTCTACTCCAAGCTCATCCCTGATGACAGAGCTCCTCACCCTGTCTAGAAGGGTGCGCCCTGCCACCCTACAAAGGAAACTCATTTCAGCTGCTTGTATCCAAGATCTTGTCCTTTCGGTCATGACCCAAAGCTCATGACCATA